AAATGTGCCTGTTTCGAAGTTGTACCAAACCGAAAAGAAATCATCTTTGTGCCAACAAAGCGGCAGTCATGTGCATTTAAGATAATTATATGCATGAACTTAAAAATAAAAATGCTAATTTTGAAACGTTTTTTTTTTCGCAAGAAAAAGCTTTTCTTTTATACGCTAATGTAGATGGCTTAACGGTGATATACACATCCGGACAATCTATAGTAAAGGGCCGTGAAATAAATCAAATTAAATATGTACCTACACCTAAACCTAAATGTAATTGTATTTTGTGGGTAAAAAAATTGAGACCAACAAGATTGTCCCGAATAGAAATGTACGACCTACGATTTCAAAAGGATAAACATCTTAAGTACAGTTTTGCACGGCAGCGGGTTCTACGACACCGGATTGACCCGAAACAACAACACTTGAGGAAAACCCCGGACCATGGTTTTGTACGGTTTGCCAAAACACCATCCACCATAGATCAGTCTCGGTGCGATGTAATGGATGCAGAGGATGGGTGCATTTTAGGAATTGTTCCGGTTTAACCCGGTTGCGAGACTATAGCGATAGGGACTATGTTGCTTCGTGCTGTACCAACGTAGTCCCCAGTGAGTCCACGACCTCGTCGTCAACTTCCGAGTCGTCGTCGGGGTATGGAACTCCCCCGCAGTCTCCAGAACAGCAACCTTTACCGCAGCACCTAACCCCACATGTTGCTGTTCCAATTCTGGACAATGCATCATTCTTGCAGTTCAATTGCAACGGACTCCGAGGTAAAATTTATGAGATAGTGGATTTTATGAATCGGAGGAATATTAAGATCGCAGCGGTACAGGAAACCAAGCTCAATGAAAATTGCAATGGTTACAACGTATTGAGGAAAGATTGCACCATTCTGTTCAATACAGACCTATCTCGCTTGAGCCAGTCTCTAGTGACCCATACATGGAGTGTATGGGGGTAGCAGTCAAGTGTGGTTCTGCCGAGGTAGAGGTGCTTAATGTGTATATCCCGCCGGTTAATAGCTGTGAACCGCGTTACTTGCCTAATATAAGCCCACTTTTGGAAGGCAATAACCGCCTGGTACTAGGGGACTTCAATGCCCACCATGAGTAGTGGCATTCCGTCCTAGGTAATGACCAGAGGGGATCAGCGTTGGCAGAGCAGATTGACCGCTCCACATTTTGCACGGTAAACGAGGATGCCCCCACCCGAATAAGAGGAGAGTGTCACAGTTCGCCAGATTTAACCATTGTGTCACCCGGTCTGATAAATGACGTGACTTGGCAAGCCGTCATTTCTCTTAGCTCAGACCATCTCCCGATAATCGCCTCCATCAGCCAATCGCCCGATTTTATAACCTCTGAACGCCGCACTTTCCTTCACCATGGGAAAGCCCACTGGCCTGAGTTCAGAGAGTTCACCAAACTTCGCTTCAGAGAACTGCCCAATCCTTCTGATGTTCGGTAGCTGAAAGGATTTTGCGGGACATCACCAACGCTGCAGCCGCTCGCTATATACCTGCTGATCGAATACCCGAAGTAAGATCAAATTTCCCAGCAGAGGCAGCGGGATTAGCGAATGAGCGTGATGAGCTCCGACGTACCAACTCTGCTGATCCCAGAGTCAGTGAACTGACAGTGGAAATCAACCGGTTGGTTGGTTGGGTATAAGCGGAAAAAGTGGCCAGACCATCTGAAGTGTTGCAACATTGGAACCGATTTGAGTAAACTGTGGGTAACGGTAAAGTCACTCTCGAACCCTGAAAAAAAGGATGATAGGACAGCAGTCACATTTAACGACGTGACTGTGACTGATCCGAAGAGGTGCGCTGGCTGTTTTAACCGCCAATTTGTCGAGCACCCCGAGAGTGATAGGGTGATGCGAAGAGTACTACGTCGTATAAGAGCTCTTCTCGCCGAGGATGTACCTCCACAGTTTACGATGGGTGATGTTGCGAATGTCATCTGAAGCGTTGGGCCCGGACGGAATATCAATGGTAATGTTGAAGCAACTGGATACGCCGGGAGTTGAGTATCTAACCAAAGTCCTCAACTTGTCGTTAGCCACCCACATAGTTCCCGAAGCCTGGAAAATGGACAGGTGGGTCCCGATACTGAAGCCTGGCAAGGATGCCAGCAAAGGCGAATCATACAGGCCAATTTCGCTTTTGTCGCCAGTAGCAAAGACTCTCAAGGCCTTACTCCTCTCCAGTATCAGAGGAAGCTATTCAGTTGCTAACCATCAACACGGTTTCCGTCCACTACATAGCACTACAACAGCATTGCACGCCATATCCACACATATCAGTCGAGGACTCAACCAGAACAGGCCGTGCCACAGAACAGTAGTGGTTGAGAACACTACCCTCCGGCCAAGTTTGAAACGTTGGATAGTCAACTATATGTGTGGACGCCAGTCGTACGTGGAGTTCCGGAATAAGAAGTCCAAGCCTCGTAGAGTGAAACAGGGAGTTCCCCAAGGTGGTGTGATATCTCCAGAACTGTTTAACCTCTACCTTTCCGGAATTCCGCGCCCTCCAGACGGCATCGAGATCGTAACTTATGCGGATGATTGTACGATCATGGCGACGGGTCGTGTAGTTGATGACATATGTGTCAGGGTGAATAACTATCTCGCGGAGCTTGCCGCCTTCTTCCATGCGGGAAAAATTAAAATATCCGCCACTAAATCGACGGCAACACTATTTACCACATGGACTGCGGAGATGAGAACACATCTGAATGTGCAAGTCGACGGGCACATAATTCCGACCACCAACTACCCCAAAATCCTTGGGGTCACATTCGATAGCATGTTTAAGTCTTCCGCGCAAGCCACAGCTATTTGCGATAAAATGGAAAGTAGGAACAAGGTCCTCAAGGCGGCAGCACTTGGGGTTCGGATAAGGTTTCTTCCCTTACGTCAGCATAATCATATATTTTCGTTACAGAAGAGAGAGAGGTCCAACGATATAAGAGAGAGCCCTAGATGATGAAGCCTATTAAGCGGGTCTGAATAGCATTCATACTGATGCAGTCGCAGAGGTAGTTAATAATTACAGCATGAATGCCATACTCGGAGTCCACCCCACATCCATTGCAGCTGAAGAACGTCGGCTGCCTAGGCAAACCTGGGTAGTTTTGGCCCAACTACGTTCAGGATGGTGCAGCCGTCTCAATTCGTATTGGACACGAATTTATAAGGATGTGCGGAACGCCTGCCCAGCGTGCGATACAGGCACAACACGCTGCACCTGTTTAATTGTCCAGCCAAACCTTCCCAACTCCGTCCAGAGGATCTATTGCTACAGCCCATAAAGGTAGCAGAATTCCTAAACCTGGACATTGAGGAAGAACCGGATTAGTCGGAAAAAACAACGGAACATGTTAAAACTGCTACAACAACAACAAGTACAGTTTTGATGAAGTGGTGCCCAAGGGCGAAAGTGAAGACCATATGCAAACATGCAGTTATATTTTCAGTGACTGCGGAAGTGTAACTATTCGATGGACATTTCTTTCCAAAAACATTTTTGTTTAATAAAAACGAAAAACAGCGTTCATCGACATTCGAACTCGTGACTTTATTTTTAATTGATCGATTTAATTAAATCACAGTTTCAAATTTTCAAAATTACAAGCCAGAAGAAAACATTGTTTTCTTCGCTTCAAACGTGGTGTTATCACTGCAACAACACAGACAAATACACAATCACACCCAATCAAAGCAGGAACAAGTTGAAAGTCTTGTTTTAATCTGTCGTTTATTGTCGGCTTAGTTCGGCTTGTCTCGTCTGGCTGGCTGGCTCATTGGTCCGTCCGAGTATCTCCGGAGATAGCCAGCCGCCTTATCATCAGCGAGAACTGTAACAGTTGACCAAATGCAAAAACAAATTCATACAAATAAGCAAACAAGCGACGCATACACACACAGCCACTCATATAAGTACTCAATTCTCTACACTTTGAATAAGATATTTCAATTAAATGCCAATAAACAAAATAAAAGCAAACATGGCAGCAAACACAACAAAGACAATGAAAAAATCTGAATCTGAAATCTGAATTTGAAAACAACACAAGAGTGTAGGTATGAGCAGAGCAAACGTTGTTTGTTTTCATTCTCTGATTTCTACGAAATAGCGAAAATGCACTAAAACTTGACCAAACCCGAAATCGCCAATATCGTTTACTAATAAATAATCTATACCGAAACCAGTTCATTGACCTATGGCCTGGCACGTCCTTGACGTAGTGATGGAAACCAATCACATTCGATAATGGCTTGTATTTAAAAGATATTGTTTGTTACTTCTATCAGCGTATTATAATGAAGCGACACAATTATAACAGTCACTAGACGTGGTGAAATGAAAAAAAATATGCAAAAAAATATTATAGAATCTTTAAACCCAAACAAATCGTCTATCCAATACGTATGAAAGACAAAAACTCCAGCAAATATAAGCGAAATATTGTTTTTTGGTTTTCTTTTTGTTTGTTTTGTTGTTTGTTCCTATTATTGCCAACGAGTGTTGCGAAATATGCAAAACAAAAAAAAACACGAAAAACAAACCCCAATTTTACGATTTGAAGCACGTTTCAGCAGCACAAGTCTGGAAAGAAGCTCATTGGCAACTGTTAGTCCATGAAATATTTGTTTTTAGTTATTGTAATTTTCGAAATGTGTGTAATATAAGTGAGCTCGATTTGATAAAAAAAAAACTGCGACACCAAGCTTAATTTTTCAGCGCTTGTCGATTCTTTGCTGTCTCGTGCGTGTTTTCAGCTTAGAAGACTCTATAGTCTTCAAGCTCATTTGCCTCTTGTGTTAGGATGATGGTAGCCAGATCTGAGACATTGCATGTCAACTATTGTTTGGAGGTCATCTCTGGGACCAGTGCTTGCCAAATTCTATGTGTACGCAGAATGGTATGTGGTGTTTGGGTTGCGCCGTAGTGATCGTGTAACACAGTTTGTTATTAAGTTTCTTGGTATGTCCTTTGACAGATTTGTTGAAAATCGCCTGCTTTTGTGTCATTACAGGATTATGAGCAATGTTAATTCTCCTTTATAAAATAAGTTTGTGTTTTGTAGATCTTCGAGATCCACAATTGTTGTTTCAAAGATTTTCGTCTGTAGTTTTCGAGAAGCCGTTTCTTTTGAGGGTTGCGAAATTTCCTTTCCTCCTTGCCTTGCTTAGCCGTGGTTTAGCTTGGTGGAGGAGTTGTGTCTGAGGGTCTAATTATTGTTATTTAAAATATTTTTTTTATATAAATATATGGAATAATTCGTTGTTAATTTTTGCTACATAGGGTAGATGCGCCTAAGTTCGGCATGTCCCAGTAGTCGCCAGTTCTGAAATTTAAACTTAAATAACTAAGAATTGTATTGACCAAATAATGAAATAATTGCAAAAAAACGTCAACAGTGTTCTCTGCCCTCTTTCTGTAAAAAAAACAATGAGGTCCGATTATTTATTGCGAGAGAATAACGGTTTTCGTCTGTGAGTGTCTCCTAACGCGTGCGATAGTGCTTGTTTGTAAAGAAAAAATTAGTGGTGGCGTCAACTTAATAATCAATTTAAGTAAATTAAATTTAATACTTTTGGAATCAAAAATATTTTATAATAGTAAATAACAGTCTGAAGATAATTTTATAACTTAAAAACATACAAATCAAGATTTTTTTCTGTTATATTATTTAATGCCGACATTAGGAACAGAAAAAAAGAGATTTGCCAATAGTCGGCAGGGGATGCCGATTACTAGAAAAATATCATTTTGACCAATTTCGCCCAAACTTGAGAAAAGTATTAAAAAATAATCCAAATACTACTAAAATAAAATAGTAATAGTGTTGAATCGGCAGTTGCTTTTATTTGTGTTTTTTTGATCCACTTTTCTAAATTAAGTAGGTTTTTTTTTTAAATCAGCTATTTGATGTTTTAGATGGCGGTGGTATTTTTGAAAAAAATGGTTGGCTATCTAAAGGAAAAAGATCAATTCACAAATTTCAAATATAAGAAAGGTAATTTTTTCTTTTTTTATTTAATCTCATTTTTATTTTAATTGAAAATCCATACGTTACTGAAGGTAACCATACTATTCTTGATTTTCTACCTATATTCGGTTTAAAATGATAAATAAAACACTATTTAAAAACGAAACTAATTTCAAATTCTGGATGAAACTGTGAATTAGAAATATTGCATTGTTTTATACTATATGAAATAAAAAAATATACAAAATAATATTTTTTTACTGAAATACCATATGCCGACTACTGACAAATAGACATGCCGAGCATTGGAAAATGGTGCCGACGACTGGCAAAAAACTACTATTTTAGTAAAATTGCAAATTTTGCCAATTTAATAAAAACAAATTCAATTTTTGTTTCTTATTTCGAAAAGTAAACAAAATTTGGAATCTGAACGACTTTATTTTTCTGCAATTGAAAGATTTCACTCAGAATGTTGAAAGATTGAAAAATCGAAAATCCTAAAAGAGCCAATACTGGTACACTTACCCTATATAGTTTTTATAGATTAATATAGTTATAGGTTGTTTTTATACTGTTGAATGTTAATATAAGATTTTGGACATGTTGGCTTTTTTATATTGAATTGTATGAAATAAATAAATTGGAAATGAAAGGTATTCTTTAACAACTGCATGACCTAAAAACCTCGACTTTGTAGGCTACATAACTTGTCCAAAAATATATTAAAATCCAATACAAATAAACAATAACAATAATTCTCTATATAACTTGTTCTCATTTCAACATGCGAAAAAATAACAAAAATACGTTGCTGTTCAACTTTTGAATTCCGTACATTCGACGCACTTCAGTAGCATTCCTATACATACACGTGTTTAACATTTGTGGGGGGGAAACATTGACCGAGTACGACAATTTTAAGGTAATATTGTTACAAATATTTGCAAGACAGGTTCTAATTTTTGAATTGGTCATTTACGCGAATGCATTTATGGGAAAATTAAAAATAATCTACGCCAACGGTAATTTTCATTTCATTTCAGCCAAAATACAAGGATATCTATCAGTCCCGGGTAACTCGATGAACTTTGCCTTCCTATCCTCTCTCAACGAGTCCACAAACATGTTATATTGGAACTGATCGCATAGAAACCACAACATTTATTTTAATCCTTAAAGTATAAAAATATTTATATCGCCATGGCCGCTATAACTTTATTTATTTCTTTTTAATTTACAGATTTTCAATAAAAAAAACAGATAGATCCTCTCTATAGCTTGACAAGAATACAGTATTGATCTGATGCCCGATTACGAATACATTGTCTTTCAGTTACAAAACTTATAATGAATCAATGCATGCATCCAAACATTGCAAGCACAATCTGAAAACAGAATTTTGAATTTATTCAAGTAAACCAGTTGCAACCGCAACCTAAGGTAAAAAAACCCCTATCCTATGACAGTTTCAGACCTATAACTAGTGTATATAGAACCTGAAATAAATATAACTAAAATGCGAATAATAGAGAAGCATGCCGATAATGCTGTTAGCAGGCTTTTACAACATTATTTTTCAGTCCTTTAATTTTAAGTTTCAATTGTCATGTCAAGTTTAAAACATAGATTCTCTAAATATATACGTAAACAACAAATTGTTATTTGTATTTATTACTATATGAAATGCATTTTGTAATCACTATAAGATCGTTTGAAATCTTTTCGCTAGCTTCAAAGACGTCTTGAATGTGAATAAAAAACAAAATATCTATCAAAATGCAGACGTCCAAAGTCCATATGGTTTATGTTTGCAGTGTGTCTAAATTTCGACTATTGATTCGTGCTCTTGTGCACAACTTGTTTGAGATTGCCATTAATAAAGCATGGACAGGTATTAGAAACTGTATCACATAATAAAACATTAAACGTGAGATGAACAAAATCATCGGTTATGTACTGTGGAACATTTCTAAGGTTTAAGGGTATTAAAAATTGCTTATTACAAATGTACAAATGTAAATAAAATTAAGTTAAACCCGTAAAACAATGTTTCGTACGCCACGTCAAACTTGTAGCTTTGGTCTTTATCTAAATTGCAAGGTGAGATGTAAAAAACTACAACCAACTTTAGACTGCTGTCATTTCGGAGCCACTCGTCCGACAGCTGTTAAAATTATTCCAGTGACAGCTCATTATATTGTTCACAAGCGTACAAAAACCCTTGGGTGAGAATTTTCCAGAAAAAAAGTTACTCGTGATGGAATTCAAGCATGATAGAGTGATTTCTTTATATGTGGCTGGAAAATCACAAGTGGCTATCGTTAGAGCACTCCAGCATTTAAATCGGAATAAATCTTTTGTGTCTCGTACCGTCGCTCGTTACCGTGATACTGGTAGCGTCGCCCGAAGTTAAGGAAGTGGACGGAAGAAAACAGCAACATCAGCAGAAATGGTTCGAAAAGTAAAGAAACGACTTGATCGAAACCCGCGTCGCAGTGGCCGAAAAATGGCTCGTGAGCTGAATATATCGCAATATTCCATTCGACAAATATTGAAAAATGAACTCGGGGTAAAGCCATTAAAATTCCAAAAAGTGCAAGAACTTACACCGCAACGGAAAGAAAAAAGACTCAAAAAAGCTAAAGCGTTGCTTCGCTTGGCCGAAAGTGGTGAACTACCAATTTGGTTTTCTCCGATGAGAAAACATTCGTTGTCCAGTAGTTTGTAAACAAAGAAAATAATCGTGTTTGCTTGCCAAAGAGGTCAGCTGAAAATGTGCACCTTCGGCGCCGGCCAAGGTGATGGTGTGGGCCGCCATAACAGCCGATGGTCATTCCCCGCTCGTATTAATCGACCGTAGCATCAGAATAAATTCCGAATATTATCGCGAAAATATTCTGGAGGGTGTATAAAAGCCGTGGGCACGCAAACATTTTTCAGCACCACCGCACTCAGCACGCGACACCCAAGAATCGTTACAAAATGAGGTTCCTCGCTTCATTTCCTCATTTAATGGCCACCAAAATTTCCGGATACCAATCCGTTGGACTATTGTGTCTGGAGTATTTTGGAAAGCAAGGTGACACTAAAAAATACCAAAGTATCGATCACCTCAAGCAAACCCTTCGCCGGGAATGGGCCAAAATACCGCAGAGCAACATTCGGGCAAACGTGTGACGGTTTCATTGGCCGTTTGAGGGGCATAATTCGTGCCAAAGGTAACCAATTAGAAAAGATCTAAACTTGTTCTAAAATTTGATGCTACTTCTGACATTTTTTGCTTCATTCAATAACATTTAAAAAAAATGTAAAAATTATGGCGTCTGACTTTGTTGCAGTTTTTTCATCTCACCCTGCATATAGAAATAAAGAAATATATTCCTTTTCATATTGTTTGCACTATTTAACGTTGCAAAACGACACCAATGAGTAGAATTTCACGTGAGCTCAACTATGTTGAGAAAATATATTATTTTCTTCAAATGTAGAACTACAATCATGACGAGGACTGCAAAATGATATTCCAATCTATTGAAAAGACCCCAATTATGCAAATAAATCAATGTTTAGTCTGTTTCCGGTCCGAATAATCATTCGTGTTTGAGTAGTCAATAATTGCATTTCTAAATAGTATTTATCACATTGCAATTGTTTTTTTAGTGTTCTCACAGTATTTTACAATACATTGCAAATATCTACTTCGGCTACAATTTTCCACAAATTAAAAAAAAAACGGGCTATAACATATTTTCATATCAATAATTCAAGACTTGTTCTTTTTGCACTTTTTAGGTCTTCCTTTTTTTATAAAATAAAAACTATTTATTTCTATTTAGTTTCATGGCTAATAATCCACAGGGATTGTCCATTAAGACATTGGTAAATTTATTAATTTTATTGACAAAAATTATTAAATCGAATACATGTAATACATTATTGAATCGATGTTTATTGAATACCAATAATTTTTGTTCTTAATTTGTTTCAATCAATAACGTCATGTTAAACAATTTTATATGAAAAAATTGGTAATGCCTAAAAGTATGCAGCAATATTGATCCACAATTTATTTACATGAAGAAATGTGTGTTACAACTCTTTTACATGTTCTGAAAAACTGAGAAAAAAACAAAGTAAAACTGCAGATTTTTGCATTGGATCCCCCGTCAATTTTTCACTACATAAATTAATTTAATTTACAGAACAGTGTTGGCATGTTTGTTCAGGATACCGTAGTATTTTTTGTTGCAAAATAGTCAAGCTTAATACCATTATTTTTTTTTATTTTATTTATCGAACGTTCCCTTGCCTCACATTCCCACCCCTGTCGACCGATTGGGCGACCTCCCTTTACGAAGGGATCGCGTACACATCATGATCCGCATTATAATGGGAATTTAGTAGGGAATTGAAAACCAGCTACAGTTTCTAATTCATCAGCTAGTTTGCCAAATAATAAAACATGTATTTTAATTGTTTAAAAATAAAATTATTCTAGATTTAATAACTTCTAAACTCATACCAAAATCTACATTACAGTACACAGAATTAAAGTCAACACACATTTTACTAAGAGGTTCGCCCATTGAATAATTCGTGCGGTGAAAATCAGTATATAATAATTGGTAGTATCTACTAGATCTAAACGGAACATTAATTCTAATATATGAGAATAGGAAATCTGAAGGTATATTACCATTTAATATTTTTAGTACAAACATGGAGTTCAACATAGTTCTGCTTTTAAGTGTATACAATCTAATTAATTTTAGCCTGCTAGCATAAAGGGCAAAACAAAATCACTATTCGAATGTAAACCTCCCTCGTAAGGCAAATAGCAGAAATTGTTTTTACACGGATTCTATTTTATCTGTGTATATTGCATATTGAGGATCCCATACAACAGAACCGTATTCTAATATAGGTCTAACAAGAGACGAAAATAACTGTTTTGTTATATATGGATCAGAAAATTCTTTGGCCCACCGTTTAACAAAACCTAAAACACCATTTGCTTTATTTACTATTGTTATTACATGGCTATTAAAATTTAATTTTGGATCCATCAAGATCCAATAAATGATAGTTGATAATGAATGACTGTCAATATTATATTGCAATATCAGAGAAGAAGATCTGGAGAAGCACATATGCTTACATTTGCTTAAACTTAACTCCATACTATTTAACCTGCACCATTGAAAAAGGCTATCTAAATCGTTTTGAAATAAACTAGCTTGTTTATCACAATTATGGGAAATGTATAATTTAACATCATCTGCGTACATTAACAATTTCGAGTAATTTATGGAATTAGGTAAATCGTTGATAAATAAAATAAAGAGGACTGGACCAAGGTGACTTCCTTCCTAGTTGCGATCTATCTTGTAAGTAAGATGATATCCATTTGACTAAGTTTGTGTTGAAACCCATATAAAATCGGTATAAATTGTATGAGTTTGTTTACGCTGAACAAATCCTTTTATTACTGTTGACGTAAATTGTATAAGATTTGTTGTAGTTGAAAGACCACTACGAAAACCATGCTGATATGGACTCAATACAGATTGAATTTTCACTGAAATTACTGCAGGAATTAAAAATCTGACACATTAGTAAGACTACCAGACTTATGTGAAGGTATAATATAAGATTTTTTTCCAGAAAGTAGGAAAGTGACCAAATTTAAGTGAATATTTAAATAATATACTTAAAGGAATTGCTAATGTTTCTGAACAATATTTAAAAATTATGTTAGGTATGCCATCCGGTCCTGGACTTTTAATGGATTTTAAACTATGGCGACTATTGGACACCTCCTGACGTTGTAGAAAAGGCATACTGATTTGATCAGCCTGTGATAACTTATAAGGATACGAATCTTTAATTTGGCAAGATGTACTGGAATAGGTTGTGGCAAAAAAATGTGCGAAACATTCAGCAATATCTGTGCCTGTGACAAATTCTTTATTTTTGTATTTCAATACTGAGGGCTTTGAGGAAACTTTTCGTTGTAGATTAACAAAATCATAAAAAGGTTTAGGATTGGATTTAAAATTATTTTTAATCTTGTCTAGGTAAAGATTATACAATCTACGAGACTCTAAAGTACGTTTAGATCTAGCAATAGAGTAATTAGTATAATCTATTGCTAAGCCTGATTTTTTATATTTACGAAAAAGCACATTTTTAGATTTTTTTAAACTTGATAACTCAGGGGTTATCCATGGATATTTATTTGAATTTTTAATTCTAGTAGTTGGAACACATTCCAGTTCAAGTCTATTTAAAATAACATAAACTTTATCAATTACATATTCCATATCTTTATGGCTGTTACACAGGCACACAGAAGCCCAATTTACAGAGGAAATGAGGGTGTTAAGTTTTCGAAAATTAGTTTTTATACCCTACAACACTATGTGTTGGGGGTATTATAAGTTTAATTGGGCCAAAAATTATGTAACACCTCGAAATATTGGTTTCCCACATAGGAAAGTATATATGGATCTTACTATACAATATATATGTACAATATATATGTAAAAGCATTGATCTTATTTATTCTGCTTGTAAATCAAGTACCGCTGGGCCGATGTTCACAATTCCCATCAATTCGGAATGGTCTCTTGATACAAAAGTATAAAATCTAAGAAAATCGCGGAAAAATATACCAATAAAGAATTGAATATCTTTTGTTTTATTTTTTTTTTTAATTTTTGTCATATTATTTATCGCATGCGATTTTTTCAATTTGACTTACATTTTTGAATTGTAAATCGACATAGAATTTCGCATCAGAAGAGAGTTAAGGACAGGGAAGAAGGCTAGCATTATAGATGATCATTGGATTATATTAAACTGTAAAATGGACCACAATTTTCGTGTGAAATCATTTTGAATACTTAAAACACTACGGAGAGCGTAAATATATAGGCAAATTCTCCGGGTCAAAAACGTAAGGGTTAGAGGTTGCCCTCTCAGGGATCTTTGATATTATTTCAAAAACGAAATCTTCCAAAATGGATTTGGATATAAGGGGACTTCGAACATATTGTAGTGTTGTAGAGTATCACATGGTCGGCCCCGCACGACTATAGCCTTTGCTTACTTGTTTTGTAATTAAGGACAGTTTTAAATGAGTCGGACTGACTTTCTTTAATTAAATAACTGTGAGTCATGGAGATATATAAAGTTGGGTGGTATATATCTTCAGGAGTGCATATTGGAGGAATTCTGAATATATCAAAATGCTGTGTTATATTTACAAACGCCAAATCAAGAATGTTGCCGTGGGGATTTTTCACACTGTTTATTTGATAAAGATTTAAGTCACAAAAACTATTTATAACATCAAATGTATACTGGGTCCTCTTCATTTCGGATGGCAAAGGAATCAAAGATTCAGAATCTGGTATTGGAAGCCACCTAATGGAAGGCATATCAAAATCACCCAGGATCAGGATGCGATCGGAATCTTTTATTTTTTCAGTGATTAAATTTACTGCTGATAAATGCTGATTATAAATGTCGAGTGAAGATAAAGGTGGAATATAAGAGCAAGTTTCAAACAATTTAGATTTGCCCAATTCAATGGAAACACCAACAAATTCTATATGAAGAAAATCATTTAGATCAATTAAATTAGTGGTATTTAATTGACTTTTATACAAACACGATCTTTTCTAAATATTTGATATTTTGAATATAAAATTTCACTATTTAATATAGATGTTTTTAACCAAGTTTTTATAAAAACAGCGTTTGTTTATTAGTGGAGAAAGATGGTAATGTTTACCAGGGGGTAAGGCGTGGTTTCGAAAAGAGCCACCAATCCTCATCAGTCCCTTCTTTTTTGTATGGAATATTCTCCCCAAGAGTTTTGTATGTTGAAAATAGGAATGAATGAAACATTCTTATAATTTAAATATATTTAGTTTAATCCATTGTATAGTGGTAAGGTAGAGCTACCAGCTGATTATAATTACAATTTAAGTGTGCCCGACTTCTGTCAATTTTGTGTATGTATTTATTGTTTTGAAAAATGAAAGATGAAAGACATGAAATTGAAAGATTGAACAGTTTGGATCATGTTGTTGAGAGAAAATCCAGGCATTTCATTCAATTTTCGCGCTATTTAACTCATTTTAAAAATGAGGAAAAAATGAAAACAACTTGTTGTATATAATTTTGAACGATTCTGACAGGAAGCAGGCATAGTATTAGTATTTCCGTAGTTTTACGAAGCTCTCCTACCTCCTTATTGCACTATGAGTTTAACCCATACCGCAATTACAGAAGTTAGAAAAAACCTACCCCATAAATATTTTTTATTTTTCTTTTGGTGCCCCTATTCTGTCAAAACATAAACAAAAAAATGAAAATAATTTAAAATTATTTCAAATATAGAGAAAACAGAAAATTATATTTTCCACGTTAAAGACAAACAAAATGTACAATTTTGGGACATAACATTTCTGCCTTATTATCGATTCAATTTTGTGAAGAGACCACAATATTCCATTCAAGTTTTGTGGTTTTCCCCAATATAAAAAAGTTTGTGAAAAAATGTTAATAAACAAAACCAATTGTTGAATGTTTAAAAAGTCTATTTGACATAATAAGGCTCCAGTACAGAGTTCATGTTTTATGCACTACTTACCCTCTTTCAAATCGTAAAACTCCATTATCAAATCTTCATCATCAGGCAATGCTTCGACCAGATCGACATCATGATGTTTTAATTCAAAATCAATTTGAGCGGGGAATATGATCATATCTAGTTAAAAACATGAAATCAAAATGTATTTGTTATTGCTAATTGTGTTATATCAAATGCATATAATCTGCATACTAACCATTTGCAAAATTATCGTCGGGGGCGAGCCAATTCTCGTTAAGTTCTTCACATACGGGAAGTAATTCGCCGTTGGGCGGCGAAATAGGCTCCATTTTGCCTTCCCAACACAGATCTTGAGGCAACGCTAATGATTCCATGGTTGTCATATTGTTCATGTCCGTGGATGATGTCATTAAAATTTAAAGATGTTTCAGATATTGATGTTAACGTAAGATGTAAATACAAGGGGCCTTGTCCTAATAAGACGCTTTCCGAAGCTGAGGGAGCCATGGCGGCTCTGTAATAAAACGAAAAATAAAAATTATTTTTGTGAATTTTGTTTTTGCCAAAAGGTCTTTATTGTTGTTTTTATAAAAACAACGTTTGTTTATTAGTGGAGAACGATGGTAATGTTTACCAGGGTGTAAGGCAAGGAATACCTAGGTTTCGGAAAGAGCCACCAATCCTCATCAGTTCCCTTGTTTTTTGTCTGGGATATTCTCCCCAGAAGTTATATTAAAAAATAACTTCTATGACATAAAACTTTTTTTACCCAAGTGACGAGGTTGTAAGCTCAATAGAGGAGGAACCAAATAATTAAATAAACTTCAACTTCTGGAAATCGCAAATAAGTTAGCATTTTCTACTCGTACATTCATATCCTTAAAATAAAAAAGTTGGCTATGTGTGCTGTTACCATTTTTGATAGTTTATTATTTATCATTTACATTGTGCATATCATTTGAAGTAAAAGAGTAATGGGAAGTACAGTGCAGAAAGCAATGGAATATTATTTTGTATTTCGTGCCAAACATTGGAGTCTTCATAAGATACCAATTAATAGTAGGACCCAATATTTCGAAAAAAAAAAAAAAAAAAAAAAAAACAAAATAGGACGTAAAATTCATATTTTTTAACATTTACTTGTCAAAAGAATGGTGTGAGTTTTGACTGGGCCGAATTGCAAATTCCCTTTAAAATGAGAAAAACTTAACTTTTGTCTGCATGAAAAATTTGCCAAAACTGGTACTGATATTGAACATTTAGCGAACACTAAGTCAAAGCCCAATTAACTAAAACAGTCTATGGAATTTGAATTTCGAGCATAATTTTTTCGTTTTAAAAAGCAGATTGTCTTGTTATTAACATTTTGTGTCCTTTGTGCGGTGCCGTCTAGAGTTTTTCAAATTCTAAATTAATATGTGTAAATATTAATATATGTAAATATTAAATCACAGTCTTTTTTGGTGGACTCTTTAGCTCCGTAGCGATGGAGGACGAAAAATTATGACCAATTGGATATTTGGGCGACTGAAACCCTAAAAATAAATAAAATAAGTTGCTAGATTTATATGGGTTCCATATAAAATAGTGAGTCTGTATTGAACAATTTCTGCAGTTTATTAAGCAAGAAAAACTGAAATTTGCTTATAAAACGCATTCAAAGTTTGTATGTGCTTGGAATCGGGAAAAGCTATAAAGCAGTCAGAAGGAAGTTGTAAAGAAAACTACCATCGAGGACCCATGATTACTATTAATACTAGACCAATGCAGACACATCATTAAATCGACTAGGAATTTGTATACTGATTTTTGGGGGGTATGAAAGTTATTTGGGTCTAAAAACTTTGTAATTTTTCAAAAATCTTTTACTATAGATCCCTGCAATGAACAAGCATTAAATTTGAGCTCTGTCAAGAAAATAATTAAATATTTAAAATTGGAGATTTTTACAAATTGACTGGACTATTTCTTGTGGATATTGGTGTTTGAAGGTCTGGAGCTGTGGCTTTTGGTGGAGTTGGTTTTTCTTCTCATCTTTTTAACCTGTTGCTGTGCATTTTCGTTTGGCGCTCTTTTTTTTATTCATTTGCATCTGCCAAGGTAATCCTGAAAATGCCGTCGCTATTGACCTGTAATGTTTGTAAGGATCATATTGCCAAATCCAAATATAAAATTGGTTGCAAAGGCTGTGCAAATTTTTTCCATTTGGATTGCGTTGGCATTTCTGAGGCTGAGGCTAAAATAAATAAGCAACTCAGATACACTTGTGTGTGCTGTGTTCGGGCTGCTGGTGGTAGTGGTGACGCTGGTGTGGTTGATCGCGGAACAAAAGCGAACACTGCAGTTGATGCATCTAGGGTTGGTGCCACAGCTGATGCTTCTTTGAATGGTGGTGATGGGACAGTTGGTGTGGCTGCGTGTGATTTTGTTGGGAATTCAGATGCTCTGCGAGAGCTGCAGGATAACTTGATTTTGTCTATGAAACAACAAATGGACACGTATATGGCTAGATGTCTGTCTGAATTCCGTACCAAAACTGATGCTCTGTTTGATCTTTATAATGCACAAATATCTGAGGTAAAGCGTGATGTGGTTGAGCTTAAAAAGGCCGTAGTTGAGTTGAAGATGACAGTCTCTGAAGTTAAAAGTACGGCTTTGTTAGCAGAAAAGAAACTTGCTGATAGGATTTCTGAGCTTGAGTCTTTTAACAATGTGCTCCAGCGAAGGCTTAACAGAGCTGATATCATTATAAGAGGTTTGCCGGAAAATATTAAAGACCTCAGGAGCTTTGTTGTTAAAGTTGCTAATTTGTGTAGGTTGCAACTATCTCATGGCGACATGCAGCAGTGCTGTTACATATCTGAACGTAGAGCGGTTTTGGTGAAGTTTAATTCTATTCAGACAAGAGATTCCCTTATCCGCCGATTTGTTAAAAGAGGGAAGGTAACCCTAAAAGAAGTTATGGAGAATTGTCTATTGGAGTCCCGTATCTACTTAAATGATCATCTTGTTAAATCGGCATCTAGTCTTGTCTTTGCCTGCAGAGGCCTGCTCAAGAAGAAGAAGATTAAGAAATTCAGGTTGTTAAATAGTGATGAACCTCAAGTTGAGGTAATACTTGGTGATGGAAGTAAAACAATTTTTGAGCGACAAGAGCTTCTTGAATTTGCTCGTAGTTGTCCTCTGCAACCGGGTGGTGCTCCGTTGGTTGGTGATATGCTGCTGGGAGTGTAGTCATGTAATGTAAATATTAATTTTGTTTTGATCTCATTGGCAATTTAATTGTTTTCTTGATGCAAATTATTGTTTATTTGTTCTAAATAATCTTTCATATTATTATTTATTATTTATTTTTTTTATTTATATATTTATATTTTTCAATTTTTAGTATAAGATGCGAAATCGAATTTACATAATTTTGCTCCCCAGCCCCTTTATTTGGTTTGATGTCACTTGATGATAATCTGGGACCCATAATTAATGACGCTCACTTTTTTAAACCCTTATTTGAGGGTTTGTCTGGTAAACTAACGTATGGCCACTTGAACTGCCAAAGTATTCGCCCATCGAGATTCAATAATAAAATTGATGAGCTTCGATCCTTGCTGGTTGGTAGTGGTATCAGCATTTTTGGTGTCACTGAATCTTGGCTTAATTCTGCACTCTCATCGAAATCGTTGGTTGTTCCAGGATATAAGCTGGTGCGGAGTGATCGTGTTGGTCGTGTTGGTGGTGGGGTATGTCTCTATATTGGTAGTGGCACTCCTTATAAGGTAGTTTTTCGTTCAAATAATTTTGGTGTTTGTGAGTCGGTGTGTGTTGAGTTGAATATTGGGGCATTGGTTTTGCTTGTGGCGGTAGTATATCTTCCCCATGGCGATGTTCAGTCTTTCTGTGATGTACATGAGAGTTTGTTTGATCGCTTCTCTAATATCATTGTCCTTGGTGATTTTAACTGTAATTTATTTGTGTCTTCGAACTCTGTTTCGATGAGAGGATTATGCAGATCATTGGGGCTAACTATTGTGCATAACATGAAACCTACCCATTATGATTTGGCCCAAAACTCTACCTCGTTAATTGATTTTTGCCTTACTAGTGATAATTTGTCCTTGGGTTTCTCGTCTCAGGGTCGATGTCCTGGTATATCACACCATGCCTTTGTTTTTGGTTCGCTTAACCTGCCTGTATTTTCAGAGGAGAGATTTATTGAGTATCGTAACTTTGGCCGAGCGGATTGGTTGGGCATTTTAAATTTCATATCTGATTTTGACTTCAACCCCTTATATTCCACTTCTGATGTGAATTGTCAACTTTCACTATTTGATTTGTTGTTTAACGCGCTATTGTCTTTCGTTCCTGTTTCGGTTCGTAAGGTCAACCCCAGGAATGATGCATGGTTGGAATCTGATGTGGTAAAATCGGCACGGATGTTTAGAGATCTTGCGTACTTTGAGTGGCGCAAGCGACCTATGGAGGGTAATAGAATAATATATTGTATGTATAGGAATCGTTGTAAGGCTGTGATGAGGAATGAGAGGCGTAAGTACTATAATGATTTCTTTGGTCGTATGAATAATAATCAGCTGTGGAAATCTCTAAAGTCGTTTGGTGTTTTGGGTAGTGATAATGAAGCTCCACCAATTGATGTCAATGCTGCTAATCATTATTTTTCCGGTGGGAATCCTGGTTTTGTGGGTGAGCGTGGTCAGTCTTTTTATAGTGAGGGTCATGTGGGAGATGATGTTTTTCGGTTTTATTGCATATTTTATTCTGATGTTGTAAGGTCATTAAATAAAATTAAGTCGGGAGCTGTGGGGGTTGATGGCGTGCCAGTAAAGTTTTTTAAACTTATATTTCCATACATTTCCTGTCATTTCCTGCATTTTGTTAACTCGATTTTTATGACATCTACTTTTCCTCGGGCGTGGAAGGTTGCACGAATTGTTCCTGTGCCGAAAACTGGTGAATCATTTGATTTGCCGAATCTGCGTCCCATTAGCATTCTACCTGCTATGTCAAAAGTCGTTGAGCATATTATTAAAGAAGCGATTGTTGACTTCCTTGATGATCGTAGGCTATTGAGTAGTTCTCAGTTTGGTTTTCGGCGACGATGTAGTACGACCACGCACTTATTATATCTTACTGACATGATTAGAGATGTATTTAATTCATCGGATGTTGGGTTATTATTGGGCCTTGACTTGTCAAAGGCTTTTGATTCGATCAACCATTCCCTTTTACTTGACAAGCTGAGGTTTAAGTTTGGTTTTTCATCTTCTGCGTGTCGTTTAATGGCTTCATATTTGGAAGGTAGGTCTCAGTTTGTTGTTCATTTGGGTGTTTCGTCTGAAGTTTGTAGTGTCCAATGTGGAGTCCCGCAAGGTTCTGTACTGGGACCGTTGTTATTTATTATGTTCATTAATGACATTGTGCACTCAGTTGTTGATGACAGGTGTTGTCTGTTTTTGTATGCAGATGATATTCATGTTTTCTTCAGAGAGGCTGATATTGCTGGGTTGGAAGGGTTGGTTAATTCTATTGTTTTGTCTCTTTCGTCGTGGATTTCGCTAAATGGCCTTATGATTAATTGGAATAAAACTAAAGCTATGCTGTTCAATGATCATGGTAATGGTGGTTCTCTTAATATTACTGTGGGTTCTGTGTTAGTGAAATTTGTTGATGAAATGAAATGTCTTGGTATTATAATTGATCGGAAGTTGGACTTTAAGAGACACATTGATTCCTTGCTTTGTCGCATAAGGTTTCAGCTGCGGAGGCTGTATTGTCTTAATGCTTATTTGTCTTGTCATGTTAGGAAGAGAGTGGTTGTATCCTTGCTGCTATCGCAGGTAAATTATTGTCTAGAGGTAGTCTCCGGTACTACTTCTTCTCAAATGCAACGTATCCGTAGGGCGGTAAATTCGATTGTTCGCTATGTGTATGGCTTGCGTCGTGGTGATCATGTTTCTTGTTTTGTTAATGATCTCCTGGGATTGCCATTTAGCAGCTACGTTGATCTTCGTATTCTTCAATTTCATTACAGTGTTATGTGCAATTTTGACTCGCCTCTTCGTGAGAACTTTGTGTTTTGTAGATCATCTCGAAATCCTCAATTGTTGTGTCCAAGGTTTTCGTCCTCCATTGGTGAGAGATCATTTGTGGTTAGGGCGGTGAGATTGTGGAATCAGCTTCCTTTGGCCTTACGTACTTTTGCCCATACCAATTATCTGTTTAGGGTTAAAGTAATTGAATACCTTCGCCTAAATATGTAGGCTATGTTTTTGTAGTGGTTGCGTCGGTTTATTATGGGTTTTTCTTTTTGTTTTTCTTTTTGTTTGGGCTGGGGAGCCACTATATTATCTTCTTAATTTTATTTGTAGGGTATAATGTGAGTTACTATTTATACTCTGTTTTGTGAGTAATAAAATAGTTATCTCTTATTTTTAGCTCGTTTCTGCTACACTTTTTCACTGCTCTACTAGACTATTGTTTAGTTGGTGATGGTGAATCGAGGTGTAGGGTTCGAGCTTCTCGTGAATTATTAAGATAAATTATTAGGTTTAATATGTTATTTGTTAAGTTTGAATTAATCATTGAATTTGTATTATGTTAGGGTATTGTAGATAGATAATATAAGTTATGGGCCCTGTGGGCTTATTTATATTTATTTGTAAGGTAAATAAATGAAATGAAATGAATCAAGGTAAAAATAGCCAAGGCAGGGTTGTTTTTACTATTCTAGAGTTGTTTTAAGCTTCAGCGCAAAATATTTACTTTTGCAAACATTTACTTTACAAACTGTATGTGATAGGACAACCTTGAATTCTTAACGGTATCTCTTGAGCTTAGCCAATGTTAAATGCCAAACTCAACTTCAGAGTCACGTTTAAATAATAATAACACACGTATGTTTGTACGAGTGTATGTGTATGAACGTGTAAAGGTTATTTTGGTCGTATCTGAATACTAAAAAAGTCAACCAAACATATTTTTGTTCGTCAAGATGAATTTGATCGCGTTTCCATCATAAATTTCTATTAACTTACAGTTTTGGTTAATAAAAATTTATAATGGAAATAAGAAGCAAAGTCTATCTGTCGGGCGGACAGATAGACTATTTGACGCATGGTAGGTGTCAACCATGGTAAAATGATATCAAGGTAGGGCTATGATACCATATGATTTCATTTTTTTTATTTTCTTGGCTTAATATGTCATATTTATTTGTTTATGTATGTGTTTTCTTCTCAATAACAAAAAAAAATGTTCAGAAAAAATTCAAATTCGGATGTTTTCAAAATGTTTATTTCTGACATTACAAGCCAAACAGGTAGACCTCTATACTTGCAATTTTTTCAAAGTTGGCCTACCTTCTCTTCATTGTACCAGGATGCCAACCTTACCCCTACAACGGAACAACTCTATTTTAGTAGAAACTCCTCGATTTTCTCGAATTTTTTTTACCAGAGATTGTTGTTTTTACCCTGATTCCGGGAACTATTTTTTCCTAGGGGGAGGGACATGGGACACCGACTAGACACGGACGGCCGTAGCCGGTTGAACGTACCTAGAAAATAATATCTCTGGACCCAGAAAAGGTATTAGGACAAATTGTAGCATTTTGGAAAGGTTATAATATAAATAATTTGGCATCACTTTGGTTGACCCCCATAATGGGCCCTTTTTCGACTTTTTGGGGGTTTCATAAAAAATACGGGTCCAAAAAATCGATAATTTGACTATAACTTCCGAACCGCATAAAAATTCCCCATCATGTAACCACTTGTTGGACTAGTCCGGGACTAGTCGGGATCCTGAACCCGGACTTTCGGGTCAAAAATAAAAAGTTTCCCGAGAAAAATAGTTTCCCGGGATCAGGGTAAAAATATCTACCACTAAAAAAATTAAAAAAGAACTAAACAAGAGTTATGCCGTTTATTTAATAAAAAAAAATTATTTCTTATTATATAAACGTGCGTTCAAAAGCTAAAGAAAATCGAAACAAGTTCTTTTTCGCTTTGCGAAAAATTGGTCGAAAATATGTAGGTGTTTTTTTTTTTTTCTTCTTTAAATCATTACAACAAAACCATATGGTTGGTGGAACAAAAACAGCCACCACCACCCAGTCCCAGCCGTAAAAACAAAAAATAACAAAAATATTGTTGATAACAGCAACAGCACCTACAGGCAGACTGATAAGAAAGAACTTAGTATTGAACTTGAATGTTCAAACGTTTTGCGAATGGCCCTTTCCAAGCAGAGAACCGCGAAGACAAAGTAAACAAAGGCATGCGTCCGTTCATTCTATTGCCAAATGTCGTTATATAAAATACAAATAAACCCTTTCCAGAATAACAAATCATCAACATACACGCGCAAATATTTAAGGGGGGGCTATTAACGTGAATGACGGAGCACTTTAGTAACAGTAACAGCGCTGCCACGTTAACATACATACAAACTTGTCCACACTCCACACGCAGAAAGATACTATCAAATGAACAACAAAAATAAGCGAGCTGGTAACAATTGCAATGCGTTGGCATCTATTGTCTGTGGCTGGAAATAGGCTAAACAAAACAAAACACCTAAAAACTGGTATGGTGTATGGTAGCACAAATCTGCCAACCAAACTGTGCATTTTGAGCCAAAACTCCACAGTTTGAAAAGCACTGGTTGCACACACATTATGGTATTGCGTCAGTCATCCGTTGCCACAACTTTCTCTCTTTATTTGCATTCACAGCCATACACGTTGTACAAGCCAAGCTACACATGTTGATGTTTCATATTTCCACGAAATAGAATAAAAACAAACGACGGAATGAATTTCACCAGAATTTCCCCTTACCCCTTCTAAATTCAGCGATCAAACACAAACGATACCACACACACATACACATACGCAATAACCAATTCGTAATCGTGTTATGCCAGTCACTAAAATATTTATATATTTGGCAAAAAAAAAAAATACCTGCTGTATTCTTTTCTAGACACTCAGATACGGAAATATCATTGAGTTAAAAACCTATTAATTCCTGCCCTGGGAAGATACTTACGCTTTTTTATAATCATTTTCGTAGAATGTTTTAAACTTTTGGGGCACTGGTGCCTTTTTTGTTTGCTTAGTTGCAAAATCCGACTATATATCCATTTTCACCGAAATATAAATGCAAAAAACACGGGCAAATATTCAATCTTTTTACGTTTCATTGGGGAAAATGACTGAGAAGGCAAATCATCAAATAGCTCAGTTGAACCAATCTTATTCACGCCAGTGCTGAAAAGTACCAAATTTACATTTTGGGTACACATGGCCGTCACTATAATTGGCCTAAATCAAAGCGTTTGACGCAAGGTGTGTTCACATTTTGGCCAGGGTAGCAACAACATATCGTCGCTTGTGAACACTTCAACAATTAGTTAAATTAGATAATATTGACATATCAGAGTTTTTTTGTGCGCAAACCCTGACATTTTTAAGGAAAGCCATATATCCATCAAACATGTTGTACAAATGAAATCGTTTGGATTGTCAATTCCTTTGAATATTCGCACATTATATAGCGCATCTTAAGGTGAGAATGAACAGAATCTGTTTTTTCTGGCATAAAGTTGTAGATACATTTTATAATACATTTTTTTGAACGTTCCCACGCCTCACATTCCCACCCTTGATGACCGAGGGGGCGACCTCCGTTTACGTAGGGATCGCGAACTCAGCAGATTCCGCATCATAATATGAATTTAGTAGGAAATTAGGAAACCAACAACAGAATCTATTTCATCAGCTAGTATATAGATAATACAACATATAGATTTAATAATTTAACAAGTAAAAAAGTAGTAAGTTTGGCCGGGCCAAACTTTGAATACCCTCCACCATTTGAAACGAATTAGAAAAAAAAAAAAATTAAAATCCATTAAAAATTCAGTTAAAATCTTTAAAATAACTAATATCGGAAGGTGCCGATATATGGGAGATATACGATATTGTGGACCTATATAGACAAATCTATGTCTGGGGGTAAAGTACTCAGAAGGGACTCCTAAACAATTCCATTAAAAATGTGGCTAAAATCCTCAAAATACCGAATATCGAGGGGTACCGTTATATTGGGGCTATCTTCCAAGGGATAAAGTACTCACAAGGAACTCCTTGTGTAGAATTTCAGACAATACCATTGGAAAATGTGGCTTAAATCATCAAAATACCGAATATCGGGGAGTACCGCTATATGGGGGGTATACGATATCGTTAAACTATAAAGACAATTCTCTGTCAGGGGGTAAAATGCTCAAAAAGAAATCCTTGTGTAGAATTTCAGGCAATTCCGTTGAAAAATGTGGCTAAAATTATCAAAATACCGAATGTCTCGGGGTACCGTTATATGGGGGCTATTCGATATCGTGGACCTATATAGACAATTCTCTTTCAAGTGGTAAAGTACTCACAAGGAACTCCTTGTGTGGATTTTCAGACAATTCCGTTGAAAATGTGGCTAAAATCATCAAAATAGCGAATATCGGGAAGTACCGTTATATGGGGGCTACACGATATCGTAGGCCTATATGGACGATTCTCTTTCAGAGGGTGAAGTGCTCAAAAAGAACTCCTTGTGTAGAGTTTCAGACAATTCCATTAAAAAATGTGGCTAAAATAATCAAAATGCCGAATATCGGGGGTACCGTTATATGTGGTCTATACGATATCGTGGACCGATATAGCCCATATTCGAACTTGACCTGCCTGCAGACAATAGACATATCTGTGCAAAATTTTAGCTTCCCATCTTAATTCGTTTTGACTGTAGCGTAATTAAAACAGACGGAGAGACAGACGGACGGACGGACATGGCTAAATCGTCTTCGAATTTTACGCTGATCAAGAATATATATACTTTGTTGCATGGTAGAAGAATATAGGTAGACACATCGACACAGCCGCTGGGACAATGAACTGTCAAACCAATATTGGAATGGAAAATGTTGAATGAAAAATTATTTAATTTGTAAAAATTGTTGAAAGACGCGAATTATAATAGCCTCCGAATGACGTCGAATAAAAAAACATATAAAAATCCACTTATATTTGAAAAAATATTTAAAATGTTTTGACATATCAATGTTCCCAAGCGTTGATGCATCTACCTGTATTTTTCTACCATGCTTTGTTGGGTCTAAAATGATTATTTCGATGAGTTACAAAACGAACTTAATATACCCTCCATACCATGGTAGAAGAATATAGGTAGATGCATCAACGCTTGCGAACATTGATATGTCAAAATTTTAAAATTGTTTTTATCAAAAATAAGTAGATTTTTATATATTGTCTTATACGATGCAAATCGGAGGTTGTTACAATCATGGTACAATGATATCAAGGTAGGGCAGAACAACCATATGATTTTATTTTTTTATTTTCTTGGCTTAATATGTCATATTTTATGTTTATGTATGTGTTTTCTTTTCAATAACAAAAAAATTGTTCAGAAAACATTCAAATTCGTGTGTTTTCCAAATGTTTATTTCAACGTATGTATCGACAAAATCTAGAGTTTTTGTAGCGGAATAATCCTTTAGAGATATATAGTACATGATTTTGAAAAGAAGTGTTGACCTTTCATTCAATTATCGCGGTTTTCAATTATTTATTCAAAATAAATGCAACAAGTTGTTTGATTTTTTATTGTTTTGATACTAATTCTGACATTACAAGCCAAACAGGTAGACCTCTATACTTGCAATTTTTTCAAAGTTGACCTACCTACCTACCTACCTTTTTACAAATTTGACAGTTCATTGTCCCAGCAGCTGTGTCGAAGAGACTACCTATATTCTTCTACCATGCTCCATACTATGTATGGTGGAGGGTATAAAAACTCATACCAAAACCTACATTTCAGTACCCAGGTACAACAAAAAGGTATGGCATAGCTATCAGCTGATTATAATTTTTTCCTGAGACTGACCGACTTCTGTCAAATTTGTTTTGATATATTTTGTTTTGAAAATATGAAAATATATTTTAATTTAATGAAAAAGAAAATATTTGTAAAAAAATGATACCATTTCAATTGATAAACAAGTAAAAAAGCTGTAAGTTCGGCCGGGCCGAACTTTTAATACCCTCCACCATTTGGTACAAAATTTGGCAATTTCCAAAAAATAGAATCCGTTAAAAATTCTGTTAATATCTTAAGAATTCCGAATGCTTATACGACGACGTGGGCCTGCATAGGCAAGTTTTGTCATAAGTTATTACAATATTTAAATGCGAAACTTGAAGAAAAATCTGTTTATAATGTAGCTAAAATCATTAAAATACCGTATATGGGGGGTACCGTTATATGGGGGTTATACGAAGACGTGGACCTGCACAGACAATTTTCTGGCATGGGCTGAAGTATCCATTACGACCTTCACATGCCGTATTTGAAACAATCCCGGTAAATAATGTCGCTAAAATCATTAACATACCAAATATCGGGGGGTACGGTATATGGGGGCTATATGAAGACTTGGACCTATATGGCCCATTTTCTGTTTTATGCTGCAGTATCTATTACGAACTTCAAATACCAAATTTGGAACGATTTCGCTAAATAATGTCGCTAAAATCATCAAAATACCGAATATCGGGGGTTACCGTTATATGGGGGCTATATGAGGACGTGGACCTACATGGCTCATTTTTTGACTTAGGATTACGAATCCATTACGAACTTCAAATACCAAATTTGGAACGATTTCGTTAAATAATGTCGCTAAAATCATCAAAATACCGAATATCGGGGGGTACCATTATATAGGGGCTATACGAAGACGTGGACCTACATAGATTATTTTCTGTCTTAGGCTGTAGTATCCATTACGAACTTGAAATGCCAACTTTGAAACGATTCCGGTATACAATGTCGCTAAAATCATCAAAATACCGAATATCGCGAGGTACCGTTATATGGGGGCCATATGATTTCTTGGACCTACATGACCCATTTACGAACTTAACCTGCCTACTGGCAAAATATACATGTTTGCAAAATTTTAGCCTTCTATCTGTATTTGTTCGAAAGATAGCGTGATTACAACAGACAGAGAGACAGACGGACATGGCTAAATCGTCTTAGAATTTTAGAATTTTTTTTTTTCCAAAATTGGTTTGACAGTTCATTGTCCCAGCAGCTGTGTCGATGCTTCCACCTATATTCTTCTACCATGCTACTAGATCTAAACGCAACATTAATGCTGGTAAGATTAGGAAATCTGAAGGTACATTACCATTAATTATTTTAAGTACCAACATAGAGTTCATTATAATACGTCTGCTTTTAGATGTAGGTAATCTTATTAATTTTAGCCATAACAGTACCATTTTCTAATATAGGTCCAACAGGGGTCGTAAATAACTGGTCGCTATAAATTGATCAGAAAAATCCTTGGTCCAGGGTTTCACAAAACCTAGAACACCATTTACTTTATTTGCCACTGTTATTACATGGCTATTAAAATTTAATTTTGGACCATCAAAAGACCAACATCGACAAATGATTCTACAGTTGATAATAAATAACCGTCAATATTATATTGCTACATTAGAGAAGATCGGGAGAAGTATATGTTTACATTTGCTTAAATTTAAATCCCATGGTATAATTATTACAGGTAACAGCAAGTCCCAGCTGATTTGACTCTATAGTAATACTGGTGTCAAACTTGATATAACGTTTTGTGATTTATAGTACGTTTACGTTGTATATGATTTAGAAAACCCAGTCGGTTTAAATTGCCTATTCCATTACATACACCTCAAATAAATCTGCATAAATAATGTTAACCCAGAAAAAAACTGTAACGTAAACATGTCTTTAATTCCATTTCTTGATATACAATAGGTATACCCTTTTCATACCCTCCACCATACATAGTAGTATCGAAATAATAATTGTAGACCCAACAAAGTATATATATTCTTGATCAGCGTAAAATTCTAAGACGATTTAGCCATTTCCGTCCGTCCGTCTGTTTTAATCACGCTACAGTCAAAACGAATAAGGATAGGAAGCTAAAATTTTGCACAGATCTGTATTTTGATGATTTTAGCCACATTTTTCAATAGAATTGTCTAAAATTCCACACAAGGAGTTTCTTGTGAGTACTTTATCCGCTGAAGGAGAATTGTCTATATAGGTCCACCATATCGTATAGCCCCCATGTAACGGTACCCCCCGAAA